CAGTGACTCAATGACCAGGCTCTTAAGTCACCTCGAGACCTATGAGTGAACCTTAGTAGAGATCATCCTTGAATCGAGAAATCACCACCACCAACAGCAGCACCTCAGGGCACCTTCACATTGTTTCCAGGGTGCTGCAGGGCACCAGGATTGTCGGCACAGCTGGGTGTGCAACGTGCCTCCCAGGATACACCTAGGGCTCAAATAGAAATCTGCAGAGGTAGATCCAGGGGGCTGCCCTGGTGCACAACACCCACCCCGCTTCCTGCTCCAGACAGTTTCAAACCAACTGCCTGGCAGCAGCGTTTGTAATCAGCCCTGTTTGATGTGCCAAAAGATCATGGGCTTAGGCCAGGGATGGGCAAAATGCTGCCTGCTAGGCCACTCTATCCAGCCCATGGGGCCCCTAAAAAATTTAGAAAATTAATATTTATCTGCCCCTGGTTGCCTGTCATGTGGCCCTCAATGGCTTGCCAAAACTCAGTAAGTGGCCCTCTGCCCAAAATAATTGCCTCCCCCTGGCTTAGGCCCGTCACTGACTACTATAAGCCTTTCTTAATAAGGGGAAACCACTGGGATCACATCAGGGGTCAGCAGGGCAGGCCCTACGAGGAGAGGCTGAGGGACCTGAACCTGTTCAGCCTCCACGAGAGAAGGCTGAGGAGGATCTAGTGGCCGTTTACAAACTAGTCAGGGGGGACCAGCAGGCATTGGGGGAGTCCCTGTGCCCCCGAGCACTACCAGGAGTGACTAGAAATAACGGTCACAAGCTGGCAGAAGGTAGATTCAGACTAGACATCAGGAGGCGCTACTTCACCATCAGGGCGGCTAGGACCTGGAACCAACTTCCAAGTGAAGTGGTGCAGGCTCCTACCCTGGGGGTCTTTAAGAGGAGGTTAGACGAACACCTTGCTGGGGTCGTTTGACCCCAGTACTTTTTCCTGCCATGGCAGGGGGTCGGACTTGATGACCTGCTCAGGTCCCTTCCGACCCTACCTACCAACTATGAAACTATGAACTAATTCTCAGGGACAAATAAAGAGACAAAAGGGAGGAGAATGAGGCTGTAGGTTAATAACGGGCGATCTGTGAGCAGACATGGAGCAGAGCGCGCTGGCCAGTGCCCACTGCCCCCGAATGAGTTGAGGGAGCCTCAACTGTGGGCACCGACTAGTGAAACTCTGCCCAGGGATGTGGGTGGAGGAGCAACAGGAAAACAGCCCCCGCTCACCTGAAACATTTCTAGTCAGGCAGCAGCGAGATCTGACTTCGTGGCTCATTATCATCTACCTGATCCCTTCTAAACTCCTGGTTCCCTCCAGTGCTAGTGACCCTCTCTTCTTTTTAATGCTCTCCGTTCCACCATTCATGCTATCCTTTTTTTTGAAGTTCTGCTGTCTTTTCACTGCTCTTGGTCAGGTAGCTCCTATTTCATGGGCTTGCAGACTTTTTCACAGATTCGTGATTCACAGATTTTAACTCATTCCAATAAAGTTTTATTCATATTTGCATCAATCTTAAAACTGGTTCATATAGCCCTAGGCCCCACTATATTTGTATAGCTTCTAGTTCCTGTTTCCTGGAAAAAGTAAGTGTCATGTTATATATGAGGATGTACCTCACTGTGTGCACCCCCTTTTCAGAATCCTAAATCCTCCCATGCACAGGGCTAAGAACACCATGTGAGCTCTCAGAGTCCTTTGCAACAGACACATTGCTCTGTTATTTTTTTGTAGTCAAGGAATAAGTGAAAGCAAAGAGCTGGCATTTTCTGAGTGGTGCTTTGAGTTTAAAAGGGCAGTATTGGCAACTCTCATGATTTTTGGCATTGTTCTTAAAACCTATGCTTTGCGAACGTGAAAAACTTAGCTCTTTCTTATATATATGTATACAAATACAAATACATATATATATATAAGAAAAAACTAAGTTTTTCATATTCCCAAAGTGTAGGCTTTGGCAACTCTCATGATTTTTGGTGTTGTTAAAGTCCACACTTTGGGAATGTGAAAAACTTAGCTTTTTCTTTTATATATATTTATATACATATATATAAGAAAGAGCTAAGTTTTTCACATTCGCAAAGCGTAGACTTTAAGAACAATGCCAAAAATCATGAGAGTTGCCAATACTGAGAAGCCTGAGAACCACTGGTCTGCATGGCAGCTGAGGCACACATGTCTGAGGGCCCTGCTATGCAGTCACAAGAAAGCTGCATAAAAAACAGGTCTAGAGTGGTTATACATTCTCAAGCACTAACTAAATAGCTAGCTGGCTCTTTTTATAGCTGGAGAATCATTTTTAATCAGGTATAATTACTTTGCAGCCTGTGGCTGGGATAAAATGTAATGAACCATTAACCAGTTAATTGCATAGTAAATGTATATAAAATGTATTGCACCATTAACCAGTTAATTGCATAGTAAATGTAACGTGCATCAGGGGCCTCTGAGCTACTGTGAAACCAGTCAGTGCGGGTCAGAGGAAGTGGGATAGAAAGCCCGAGGTGGGCAGCCTGGCATGGGTTGTGGGCTATAGTTGTTACATCCGTGGAGCTCTGATCATTGCGGTGTCAAGGAATAAGCGAAAGCAAAGAGCTGGTACCAATGCTGGACAGCTTACCTGGAGCAAACTCTCTCCAGGGGTGTGCAGGCTAAAGGAGGAAAAGAAAGTTTAAAAAATATAGGCTACTCAAGGAAGGGGTGGAACCAGAGAAACAGTGCGCCCAGCTGTGAGTGGGGAGGAGGGTGAGACTGCAGGAGCAGAAAGCTGGGGCAGCAGAGGGTGTAGGACCAGAGAGATGAAGAAAACAGAGGCTTAAAATCTTGCAGGAAGTGGTGGAAGGAGAGATGGTGGGGAAATAGCATCGTTTCTAGACTCGAAAGCATGTTTTGGCGGCAGGGGGGCAGGAAGAAACACTGTGTGTTTGTACAGCGCCAAGCACCACAGGGCCCAGGTCAGAGTCAAGACATTTAAGAGCAGATGCAATACATGTGACAATAGGAAAGGAAAATGTTCTACCTTGTGGACAGCAAAGCCCTATTCTTTATAATTACCTGAAGGGTACAGGCCGGGCTAGGAAGAGGGAAACATTGCTAGGAAGGATGGGTTGAAATCTGGATGTCAGGGAAAAGATTCTCGATACTAAGAGCTGTAACAGGCAGAATTATCTACCTCCAGAAACTCCAACCCTTGTGACTATTAATTAAAGCTGCATTGATGAAACTCCAGTCCATACACAGCTTGGCCCTGTTGGGCCCTGTTCTAGCTGCAGCGCATCTGATTTGTGCTATGATGCTGAGCAGTCCATCAAGGAACGGGGGAGTAAAATCAAATCAAATCAAATAAAATAAAATAAAAAAATCTACTTGTGAACCCAGGGGAGAATCCCGATTTTCTAAAGTTTGTCCTGTGAGCTCAACTCTCTACCTGTTTTATAGAGGTTAGGTTTAACTGTAGCTTTGCGTGCATGTGGATTCATTATATCCCAGTGCAGCATCTCAGCTGGATTACTTTATCCTACGAGTCAAATTTTCCGTGCCTAATATGGCGAGAAGCTTGGGTAGAGGAACTCAGCTATTTCCTCTTAGAAAGTGTGAAGATGGTAGGGGGGAAGAAAACAAATATCATGGTAGCGAAACTTTGCATCCACCAAGATTTGATTTGTCAAAATAAAGCACAGTAGTTAAAAGAAAATGGTCTGTTTGCATTTGCCCCCAGAAAGGCTGCTACAAGATTGTGATATAAAAGAGGTATGTTTAAGATGGCCAGTTTCCTTGTTAATACCCTCCCCACCTCATTCTTATCAGCAGCCAAGTAACCAAAGTTAAATAAACAGGGTCAAAAACTATAGAGATCAGTGACCTTGGGTGAAACTTTTTTACAGGGCTCTGGATTATGTTTCCAAGCGCTCAGCACCCACGGTGGGGTGGGGTGGAGGGAGTTCAAACAGACCCAGCAGCTCCCTTGTGACATCCACCCCTGGTATTTTTAGCTCCCAAACAGTCTGGAGCTGTTCTGTAAATCCCAGCCACAACAGGCGAGAAGAAAAAAAACAACTAATTAAAACATGTAAAAATAAACCCCACCAACCCTGCCCTAAGCATACATTGGGCACAAGACGCATTAACCATTTTTAAGGCGCATTAAGGGTGCAGGTCTACACGTGCCTTAACGTGCCTTAAAAATGGTGATTTTAGGCTATTTGTGTCTAGATTTGATAACTGCAAAAGCAGGTTATCAGATTTAGGTGAAAATAGCTAAAGTACCTTAACATGTGCAGGTACGCCAAGGAGCATGAATGCTGTGTGTGTCGATTGACTTGGGACTAAGGTCTAGTCCCAAGTCAGTCTGCACACCGCATTAATGTGCGTATTAAGGTGATTTAAGCATGCGTCTACACGTGCACGCGCTAAGGCTCATTAATGCGGCGAGTGGACTGACTTGGGACTAAAGTTAGTCCCCAGCCAGTCGACATACACAGCATTAATGCATCTTAGCGCGTGCACGCGTAGATGCGTGCCTAAATCACCTTCATGTGCCTTAGGCAAAAATGCTTTAAGTTTAGGCATGCATAAAACCATCATTTACCCTCAAGAGGGAGCAGCGCTAGAGACCTAACAGAGTCCATAAGAGGCTTGCTGTTGTTGATTTGATGTGGCAGGTGCTCAGACGCTGCGAGGACATGAACTTTTGAACGATACCATGCAAATGATCTGTATCGGGACAGAACCCAGAAGCCCCAGTCAGAGGCCGGTTTGTGCTCGGCGCTGTACAAAGGACAGAAAATACAGTCCTGCTGCTGCAAAGAGCTAGCGAGGCGGTAGCCATGTAGACAAGCTGTATCCCTTATATATCCGTGTTAATCCCCTCCCCACCTCATCCCGATCGGCAGCCAAGTAACCCCTGCCTCCCCGTCCCCAGACCCGCATGGCCCCAGGACCTGGGGCAGTTCTGAGCCGTTGGAGGCTCCGTTCGAAACCCCACCAAGTTCCAGGCGGTTGAGCAGCCTCTGCCCAGCGCCCGGAGGGGACCTGCGCCCCGCGCAGCCAGTGGAGATGGACCCTCTGGCCGCTCCCCCTCCTTCCAGCCGGCCCTCGCTGCTCCAGTTCTTCAGGAACCTCTTTGGACTCAGGAAGGGCGCGCGGAAGAGCCAAGAGACTGGTGCCGAGATGGAAGAAGCGGGAAACAGCAGGGACCAAGAAGACACGAACAACCCAGCAATTTCCACCACCACCGAGTCTGAGCCCATCCTGCCGGCGGGCAACAAACTAATGGGCGACCCCGTGGCCAAGGAGTCTCGGGGAGAGAGGCTGGAGGAGATCGTCAAGGAGCTGAAGGAAATCAGTCTTGCGGGGACCACATCGAGCAGGGGCGACCAGTCCCCTTCGACGCCAGACACCAGCGGCATGGAGATGGGAGACTCCTCTGACTGGCCCATGACAGACCTCTCCGAAAGCAGCGGTGGCATCGATGGCAGCAGGAGCGAGGAGGAGAATCACCTTGCAGGGGGAGAAGGGGCAGCTCCTGCTCCTGATGCTCCTGATGCTCCGGCTCCTGATGGATGGAGGAGGTCAGGCCCGAGGGACACCGACAGGGGGGTAGGCGCGGGTTGGGAAATCGGTGGGGATACCTGAGTACTAAAACTGGCCCAAGGTGTTTCATTGCCACAAAGTTGCAAAGGGCCTGGCATGCACCTTGCAAGGCTCGCAGTTGCCTGTACTCTGCATTTCTTGGCTTACAGAGGTTTGAGGCAGCAACAAGTCAGCTTCACACTGCATTAACATGTGGTTTGTACATCAATATGCAGAGATCCTTTAGGCCTGAATGCTGCCTTCTCAAAACTTCCCACCGCTGCATTC